TGTATCATCTTATCGAGGTCTACCAGTTTATATTGAAATTTCATATGAGCCAGAGTTTCGGAATGTCAGAATGAAATTAAAGATAAGGCTTGACTTTTTAAACAAAGCCGACCTCTCTCAACTGAAATCCGCTGCTAGGAGAATCGAATGAATCCGATAAACGTGACTTTTTCCTCTAAACTAGTTATGCTACTGAGTTTACTGTTAGTAGTATCAATCACTCTGACAGGTGAAAGCGTACATAATGCCGTCTATGACTAAAAATTACCGCTATACCTATGAAATCATGTATTTCGTTTAATCAGGTCTTACTTAGGGTCTAACGTGTTTATTCTCTGTGTCCGCTTGACTAGGGTTCGAATACCGCTGATAAGGTGAAGTCCAGATGACAGCCAAGAATGAAGTATAGTAATTTGGCGGTAAATTAGATAAAACATCAAGCCTCTTCTTTATGTAATCATATACGGGGTCACCGTCAGAGCAGTAGAAAAACCAGTAGCAACTTGCATAATTAATGATTACGTATTTTCAAGACTTGGGCCTTGGCCTGATATTGCTCAATATCATCAGGCCTATCGGCAGCAGAATGAGAAGCGCTACTTTTGGACTTGCATCTCGGGTGATTACGACTCCAGACGTACTTATGGTTTACATTGAGGGTAATCAGGCAGTGTACACACACACACACACAAATTTAATGCAAGCCTCAAATTATAATCTGGGACCTATATAATTGAAGCCAGTAATGGTGACTTATTAATCGACATGAAGGTCGGGAGTATCTTCAAATAAATGCGAGTCTGGTATGCTTTTATCAACCATGTTGACCAATTAAAAGTCTGGATCATCCTATCCTACCTGCCAACGTCCGTGAAGTTGCCATGGCCGCCCAAGGGCTCAAGGTCGAGCAGAGCCAGACAGGTGTATCGTGTTGCGTCTTGGGGCATCACATTGTCAACGACCAGTCGGGAGACTTTGAGCACAGGTCGACCAGTCGTGTCGTTGATCACACCCGTCTGTAGACTGAACCGGCCGATACAAGCCATATTTTTCGAGTTACTAACGGCAGAAATGATCCTGGCGCCACGCCCAGTAACAGTTCCGCCCCCAGCTTCAGCGGCAGCTTCATTGACCACCTCGCTTCCAAATTCAGAGTCCTTGAATCGGGAGTTTGGAAAGCCGACGGTCTCGAAGAGGCGATCATCGTCGGATATCTTTGTGCCCAGAATGTGGTGTATATCCACCAAATTGTGCGTTCTAAGAGCCACTTTAACGTTTTGATCGAAGGTGATTGCATTCGAATCCGGCGCCAGACTTGCCGCAGACCCGACTCCACCACGAAACCACATGAGATGTGGATTCGGCCAGCCCCGCACGGCACACTCCAACGTCATTCTGCCATCCTCCCAGGCCACAATGTTGACTGGAGCTGGTGGGCCGTCCGAAGTGTACCAACGGTTGCGGATTCGTGATTTTCGGCGAATCTTAGGGTGTTGCCGTGACAAAGAAGCGACCTGAGGGTCAATATTGAAAAAACGACCGTGGTTTTGATCCTCTTCAGACGACAATGAGGATGGAGATGACGGTGCCAACGAACTGGAGCCGGAGGGTGTCGGTGATGTACTGGGGCTGGCCGATTCGGCGGCGTCGCGGCCGTTGCGAGAGCGAAAAGGGAAGTCGTTGGACTGCATGGTACAGCTGTGGCGTCGAGACGGATATCTGGGCTTCGATGGTACCAAACTAGGACTCCCGGGCAGAATGTGGGGCCGAACGAAGACGATGCCGCGTATTGGCTGCACTTGGATCAAGATCCGGGGTGGATTGAAGTCCTCGAACACTTTGCGCTCCCTGTAGGCCGGATTCTTGGCCTCAGCCTTGCACATGTACATGCCACCATGTTGAGGCGTCACTTCTTTGATCTCCAGAACCTGGCATCGGAAGATGGTACATACAGAAAAGTGGGAAAGTGTCTCATAAAAGCGTTTAGTCAGCAGCATTTGGCACAAACCAGAAGCTGCCTAAATCGTCTTAACATCAATCTAGATGACTCTATAAAGTAACGCCCGATGAGTTCTTATTGAGGCCAAGCGGTGTAAAGTAAATGAGAAATTAATTGATTCACTTAGACTCATAGAAACCGCTTTCTAAGAATCGCGCGATTTATACTGAAAGCAACTTTGCTGAATAATACGAAATTCCCGGCGGCCAATTCGCATTTAGTTGCTATGACATTTCTTGTTTAGGCCCGGCGCTTTCGATTTGCCCCCATAAAAAGTTGATCCGTACAGGAAGGAAACTGAAAGCAAAGTCTCAACTCTTTAATCCTCACTAGTTGTCCCCTGAGATCATAGGATTGATAGGAAATGTGAACGAGGCAGTTCGACAACAATCATCCTCCCGAAAGCATCAACTTAATTACTATTAATAGCCAAATTAATCGGCATTATGTCGAATTTAATGTCTACTAGTGCAAGCCACACGGATAAAGCTTATCTCGCCTTTACAATTGGCATTTCCCTTTAGTTTTGGACGATGGGGGCGAGAGGCAACATGAGTTTCTCATACCCAGCACACCCAGGATTCTTGTTCCGTTGGGGCCGATGGTGGAATGATAAGGCAAGGGTGAATGATAGTGTGCTTTGAAGAGAATGAATAAGGGAAATTTATTACTGAAAACTGGCATTCTTTTCAGTCAATCGTGGGCAGACTTTCCAGCAGACCAATATTAAACCAGTGAAGATTGATATAGCTTAACAATATAGCTTGATTTGCATAAAAAAGAAGCACTTAAAAAGAAAAGAAAAGAAAAGAAAAGCATTAGTTCATTTAAATTTTTCATAAATCCGCATAGCATAAGAAAGCAAAACAGATGACCTGATGTCTTTTGCCTTTTTTCTGTCCTTTCATCTTTACAACCCAAGCGATTTCTGTTTTACGGATAAATTTATATGCTTCTAGCAACTCTTGTCCGACCTCATTCTATTGGTACATCAATCATAGAAGTTTGGCTAACCAATCCGTGAGCCTTACGTTCGGCGTAAGGTCATCCCATGCCATCTGATGCTTCAGAGTCCTGAATGGCAAAATTATCTGAGCAGGTATCCTTCGCCACATATCCTAATCGTGGATACAAGGTGAAGAATGTGAGATGCCATGTGGTCTGTAGATAAACACATGAGACGTAGTATAGTTGACTGGTGCAAAACTTGTTGAGATTGATTGCCAGTTCGCGGTGAGTCTTAAACTGTCGTCAGGTCTGCTTACAGGACAAGGGATAGTTCAGGGGCTGCTTATGGACACCCCAATCGTAGGACCCCATACTAACTGTGCTATTGTTGAGCTTACTTCCATTTCGAGTGAAAGTGTTACATGAAGAGATTCGAAGGTCGGTTCCACCAGAAGACGACGCGGATTCCTCTTGACCAGCTGTCGATTGGCTTTACTGGAACATTCATGCTGACGCTATTTACGAGGCAATCTTCTTCGATTTTGGTGAAAAGGTTCTAAGCTTTCGTGCGTCATATGACGGACAGCATCAGAGCAAGGTAACATCGTCAGAACAAAATGTAAGCTAATGAGTCAAGAAAACTCACTGGCAAATCCCTAAAAAATCGTATATATACTCTGCATCTGGCCTCTTTGATCAAGTAGAAAGTGATTTGGTTAGTTAAGGTCATGTGTCAACTTGGACAGCTGGTCAAGATGAATCCGCCGTCGTCTTTGGTGGAACCGACCTTCGAATCTCTTCACTCAAGACTTTCACTCGAAATGGAAGTAAACTGAACAATTATGAAACAAGAGATTCCTCGAAACCCAACTTTTCTTCGCATAACCTTGCTATCCCAATTCTAGTCATCCTAGATGGCATAAGGTGTTGCCGCCGAGGCACTCTGCTTCGATTCGAGTGGGAAACGTGCTAAGCTTGCGTTCGTCCTATGACGGACATCATTAGATTGGGGTACCATCCTCGCAATCTTATACCAGCA